TCTCGGTCATCTGCTAATGATCACTTTCAAACGTACGAAGTCGAAATCCCACGTTTATGGCTTCTTAATGAATAGGATAATTCTAGAACGGGGATCTCTTGGAAGAGGACATGAGAATTTATTATCGAAGAGTGAGAAGACTGAAAATTTACAAGTTCATGATTGACTAAACAATTTCGCACTATCAAGACTGTTGCCGTTGGTGCATTAGTTCTCACGAGAATAACGCCAAATCCACAACAGCTGAAGTGATTATTCATACAAAGAATAGGGGTAACTGGAATGATTACATCTTAGGCGGATTATTACAAGATATATGAAATTACGATTCAATTTGATCACGAATGAGCATTGTTAATTTCACTGCGACTCGCTGACATTCGAACGAAGTGTTCTTTACAGTCCTCTACATGAAATGCGAAAAGACCGTGTGCAGTAATTTTAATTAGAACAAGAAATTTTCAGGAAAAGTTATAACAGAACGTCGTTGTGGCACTGTTGAGGATATCAGTGGGTGCACGTTGTACACGTCCTCGCGAAAGGTTTGTCATTGTTACTCATTTTCGAGGCTATTGAATATCTTTCGGAATTGGATAAACTCAACCTTAGGAAGCGATCTCAAACGAGATGAACACACTCAAATCAGCACTGAATTGAATACAATCGATGACTGCACAAAAATGATGGCTTGCAGAATAGACGAAGCACCCGCTTAAAATGTGATGTGACAGCTTTCGTTTCAATGACCATAGTTTTTTGACATCTTTTTGAAATCAGCGATTTTCACTATTGATGAAATGGGGATAGTATGGTTTATAATCAAAAATGATAATTTTCATTGCTGACAGTTATGGTAGTTGATAAAAGATTAAAAGTACGGTAACGGGTAGAAGTTACAATAAAACTGGAATCTTGAGATAGTCACGAGTAGGGCTATCCGCGACATCGCTCATGAATTCAGTCTCTTTCATTTCGCACCAATTCAGCCGACAATAGCAATTTTAATTCATTCGCTTTCCCTTGCTCCACGTATCATGAATACCTGCTCCACGTTGAACCGTTGCGTTAGTTTGACTAGCGGCAAGAAATTCCCAACGATGTTCGAGGTCATCACTGCGGATTTACGCCATTAGCTCAAAACTGGTTCATTGCAGATGCGTCGTCATTTGATAGGGTCTGATCAGAGAGGAACAAAACGAGATGCGGCAACGTTCATTGAAGTTTGTGTCGAAGGATGTGAAGGCGATAATTGTTTCGTGAATTCAGCATATTGTTCATTTTGTTCCGTTAATATTTTATTCTTATTGTATTTGTTATCAATAAACTTTTTGTAATGCTCAAATCTCTTACGCTCTGTTCACGTTTTACCTTTGCAAAATTCAGCTTCCATTGAATGTTGACTGTTACCACAACGCCTCTTATCATCTTTCATATTTTTGATCATAAACATATCTCGTCCACTGAATGAACACTAATTTCACTATGCTATGGCATGGTGTTGAATCAAACGTCTGTCAAAGGAATAAACAGTTACTTGTAGTGATGGACAAATGCTCCAAGTATCGGGCTGAAGAGACACTTTTATGACAGGCATTTGCCTCATCTACCTTATAACAATCATTTTAACGAACATGTGAATAGAGGGAGTACATTTCATTGATATGATTCAAAGATGGATGCTCATAACTATTAACTGAACATGTAACGAACGGCATCTGAAACACTTGATGAATTTCATGCGTTCATCTCCACGATACGCTTCAACATAACGATGAATGGTCATTGCTCAATTGGATTGCAGTTCACAGTCACTTGCCACATTTAAACATCTTAATTATTTCTTAACGCATCTCTTCATTTAGGAATGCACCTAGAAAAGCTTAATTCACTTAAAAATATGCACGGAGATGATTGTTTTTTAAGATACTACTGAAAAGCGAAAGCAGTGATAAGAAAGTACTCCATAAAATCACCAAATTCAATCAAGAAAACTGCATTATAACCATCAATCATCATTGACGCTCTAAGCTCTCATCGTTAAATTCCTTAAGCATCTCTTTTGAATTTGTATCGCATTCCATCTTTAGCACACCAGTGAATATCCACGTATTTTTCGTTCAGTATCATTTCAGAACTATTTTTATGCAGCGTTTCCGATTTAACGCAACTGAAAATTTTATTTCCACTCACCAGGCACCAAAGGATAGATGTTCTATGAGTCTCTAGCAAAGTCGAAAGGTGAACTTGATGCTTGCGGAATATTGCTGAAGGGATACGTTTTCGGAATCTCAATCGAAGTGTGAGCGTAGAGCAAAAGACAAGCGTAATCCAGAGCAGAGGAGTTTACCTGAGACTAGCTCCTAAACCTGAGTCCAAGCCATTGAATGTTTTTGAGTTGTTTATAGTATTCCGTTTCTATTGGATCAGATCGAAAACTGAAGCAATTGCTAAGTGGCAAATTTCTTTTCAATGCACACTGATCTCATGCTATCAATGATTTCATTCATCTGCTTGAATCAATTCAGTGAAATGATACGGATAAAACGTTCACTCAATTTATTCGATGAATAGAGAGCCTAATTTGGGACTGTTTGCTCTTTCTCACCTTTCGTATTGTATTTGTTATCGTGAACAATCGAAATGCTCTAAACAAACAAATCTTCTGTCGTCTTCTATTCCCTAAACAAAAACTCTACGCAATCTGTTGAGTGATCATTGTTGCGCTGAAAGATGACCACAACATTGCAATCGTTAATTATTTGAGGTGATTGTTACTGATTTTCAGTTATGATTGGCAGGAATGTTTTTATATTTTGAAGATGTTTCTGATGCGAACAGCTCAACTGTTATCATACCAACATCTTGTTCAATGTGCCCATCGAAGAGCCACATCAACTATGGGCAGACATCTCTTGAACGGAGTCATCGTCACTGAACTGGCCGGTCTTGCTCCAGTGCCATTTTGTGGGCTCGTCTTGGCAGATTTCGGTGCTGAAGTGACCACAGTTATCCATCAGGTTTTTCACGTTCGCACTGAATATTTCGTGTTCGTTATGCATTTCAGTCTTAATCCACTCACCACCAACGATGGCTATTTTCATCAAATCACCCTCTTAAATATCTTTCCGATGCACATGTGCTCGTAAAGAATCCATTACGACTGTGGATCAACTTTTTCTGTTAACTACCGCGCTCAAATATCTCTTAATCACTATCGTTTTCCATCATCCAAATTTCTATTCTGACGCATCGCAACGATTCAAGTAGATTTAATTCGATGTTATGAANGTTTTGCGGAAACTCATTCAGTTCCTTGAGTTGAGCTTTTCATGTGAAGTCGATAATTTACAACTTGATAAATGGAATGTTTTCGGATGGTAGATCGACGTTCAAAATAGACGTTTTTATGTGGAATATAAATAGAAACGGAGCAATATGCTACGGTAGTTAGACAATTCCGTTTTTCCTTCAGTCAAATGAAAGAGCACTGTTTTCTCCGTGATAAAATTCTGAATTTTTCTCAAGAATTGATGAAGGGGACTCAGAAAAGCTTGAAAGCAACGAATCGCAAAGAATTGATGACGGATTGAAGCTGAGAAGCAAAATGAAGTTCTCACAAGTGTAAATTTTTAATGAAAATTGAAATGGCAACGAACACGAAATGGGACGATTGACAAAATGACTAATCGTAAGCATGAAAACAACAATGAAATGCATTCCAGAGCGGAAAACAAATAATTGAACAGCGACTGACAAGAGGCAAACAACAGAAAGTCGTGAATCTTAAACGCGCTGAAGGAGTTGAGGAATTAAGGAAAATATGTCGAACAAGCGATGTGTTGCTTGACCCATTTCGACCTGGCGTTCTCGAAAAAATGGACCTCGATCCGGTCGATTTGATCAGGGTGATTTATCGGTTGATCATTTACTACCGACATGTAACCAGGCGACTTCGTAGTGAAGCCAAAATTGGCAGCATACTAACGCTTTTCTATTGAATTGTCATTAACACGTTGAGGTTTTTCATCGAGCTTGGTCGATCCCACGGAAATTGCCTAACTTTAAACGATCAATTTTATCCTCGAACTGCCGGCTAAAATTCGCACAATCTACATGACCACAGTTAGCATTATCTGTTCTAACTGCATATCACTTAAGGATAACAATAAGCTGATTGTTGCTCGAATAAGTGGGTACGGACAGACCGGGGAATTGGCATCTCGAGCTGGACACGACATCAATTATGTTTCGTTGTCCGGTATGTTTTTACCTTAAGAATAATGCTTCGTCATTCAGCTTGCTAAAGCAACTAATTACCTCCAAACGACTTTTATCAGTACAAATTGTTGAAGAAAAGAAGTGGTTCGAATTATCAGTCAGAATTTTCTCATTTCAGGTATTCTTCCAACAATCAATGGCCACTCAACAAATCGTTTGCCCTACTGGCCACCGGCGAATCTTCTCGCCGACTTTGCAGGTGGTGGTCTTATGGCAGCCTTCGGGATAATAGCAGCTTTATACAACCGTCAACAAAACGGTTCATCTTTCTCTAAATAGAACAAAATCACAAATCGAACTGAGATGTCACAAACAAAATTCCATTTGAATTCGTTGATGAGTGTTTGAAGCAGAAATCGACTCAGTTTATGACTACAGATAGTTCATGATGCATAATAATCCTTTATTGACAAATCAGGCATTTAATGCCTCCTCAATCGTTCACATGTTGCTTTTGTGTCTCAGGTGGCTCCGGCTGTATAATCGATGTGAGTATGGTGGAGGGTGTTGCGTACCTGTCGACATTCATCACTGCCTATCAAGACATCGACAAGATGTGCAATGATCCGTATGCATGGTTCTCGGGCAAATCACCAATTTATCGGTTCGTTTTGATAGACGCTAAACAAGTTCATGTTCGAGGGATGTATAACCATTTTCAGAGTAATGAATTAGCTAGAAGGCAAACGATGCAAATTTTACTCAATATATCCAAATGAGTTCGCACGACACGAAGCATCGTTCCCAATGCTGGAAACTTTGCATGATTACACCCGAAAATATCTTTGATTCTGAGAAAATTTCATGTTCACATTTTGCTTCTGATTAATATTTGCAAAATCCCGACCATTTTTCAATTACGGTATTCTTTTCCAATGCTGACAATGAAAAATGATCATAAACGGAAGAAGCAGCAATGCTGATGTCGAAACACGAAGCAATAGTGGTAACATTGTGAAATTTTTGTTCACTGCTCCCTAAAAAAACACATCTGACAATGAGATGATGCTGATTTGTGATTATCTAGCCACTGATTCCCCCATTCATTGCTAAGCGACAAATATTACTGAATACGAATGAACTAGGAATAGATGATGTGTAATTCACGGTGTAGTATCAAAATTGTATAAAATACTGTAACTTATCAAATCCCGATGTCCTGGATGTTTTAAGAACATACATCCCGGGATCGAATCTGGAATATCCGGATCTCGGGGTTCTTTGGAAACACTACTTGGGATGCGAGAACATTGAAATTTCAGCACATATCAAACACTTGACGACAAATATGTGGCCGTTGGGGCGATTGAAAAGAAGTTCGCAGAAACACTTTTCAAAAGTGAGTACGCTTGTTTTTTCTCCATTCAGCTGAACGAAAATCATATAATGTCGTCACATAAAACACGAAATTACTGGTAACAACCTGATTTTCGAACGAATTGAATAGAAATACTCTCATCTAGACAAGTTCAAAACAAAGTTTCACTAGCTCGTCGAATCAGACAGAACGGAATGGAATGCGACTCATTATTTTTTCTTTAAGACAGCTGAATGATCCACGAAAAGAAAGTTTTCGTAAATATTTCAATGAGTTGTTTCATAGAAAACTTGTTTCCTGCATTTTGAACATCTTTTACAGCACTTCAGTTGAAATCAAAATTGATTGATTTGGAAGAAAGGCCTGAAGTTGTCAACAATGAGATGGAAACCACCTTCCGAACAAGGACGAGAGAAGAATGGACAAATTTATTCAATGGTTATTTTATTGTTGAAATCAATAATTCCTGAATTTACTGTAGTGTCGTACAATTGTTTTTATATTTTTAAAGTGAATGCATCTGGATCTCAAACTGAAGCTTTCTAAACACTCGGTGAATGCAGAATTGAAGTTTAGGAGTGGACGCTTGCGTGACACCAGTTTTGGATATCAAAGAAGTTGCTCTTCTGAAGCATCATCAAATGAGATCAGCGTTCACCTATGACAACAACAAATTCTGGCCTTGTCCTGCACCGAGATTCTACACCGCAGACGATTTCGCTCGCTTACGTGATGGGAAAGTGAAAAAATGATTTGTCAGCAGAATGCGTCGGATATATTTGATGATACACTTGCTGCCGTGAAAATGATGAAACGTGTAGTCACTTACTGCCAGTTCAGATGAAGAGCATTTACTACTAAAATGCAGTCCCTATTTCCACTTCTGTTTCAGAACATGTGCGATGAGTTCAACAGATATCATTTGTGTTCGCATGTATTTTGTATATCATTTATTAGACATCAGTTCAATAGATATTCAGATAGCAGTTCAGTGCATATCACTTTTATATAAAATAAACAAGAACAAAATAAACAATGACTCCTTCGGAGTTTACAACGTAAACAGTATATTTGTCGTCGATTCTTGTCAGAATGGTGGTCAAAATGAACGGCATGAGGGTAGGCAATCTTGTTGAATTTTTCAAAAATGAGATATTTTCTTTTCTCCAGCTCATTAAAAATGCATTTGACCTTATTCCGCAGAATGTAAACAGCAGATGTCAGAGCTATATTCAGAAAGCATTAAGGAAATTGACTCGACACTATGGATGACTGCATCGCATTCTAGTGCTTGCTTTATTCGCAGAAAAATTTTTGCCACTGTTTTACTAATGAGATCTCAATAACGATAAGAAGACGATAAGAATCCAATATAATCAATCGATGTATAACGCCCGTCACCAAATGAGCTCTTCCAATAAAAAATTACGTCACGCGATGCGCATAAATTTTGCTATCGATATTCTATCTTCTTAAAATATTGAAATTCGGTTTCGCTAATGGTAGGAAATAGGCTGAAAAACATGCAGGATGACATCTAAACCAATTCAGCAAAAACAAGCGAAATT